AAGCATCATTTGACAAAATTAATTTTCAGATATGAACATTTACGCTTGTATCATGCAGGACCTCAAACGCTATTGGCTTCTGTAAGGGATCCATATTGGCCAATATCGGGGCGTAATATTGCCAAAGAGACAGTCCGAAAATGTGTATGTTGCTCGAGGAACTAACCTTTTCGACGTTTTGTATCGCGTAGAGGTAAACCTTCCCACGTATATTCCGATAATGGTGGCAATTTTGTTGGTGCTTATGCAGAACTCAAACATTTATTTCAAAACAAACAATTCACGGAAGAATTGCAGAGTAGCTTAGCCTCTGAAAATATCAATTGGCACTTCATTCCTGCCATGGCTCCTCATATGGGAGGTATGTGGGAAAACGGGGTGAAAAGTTGCAAATATCATTTGCATAGAGTAATGGGAAATATTATTTTCACTTTCGAGGAATTATACACATTATTGGTACAGATTGAGTCTATCCTTAACTCCCGTCCGTTGAGTCCTATGTCATCAGACCCAAATGATTATAGTCCCCTCACACCATCTCACTTTTTGCTGGGAAGAGCAGTTACGTCTTTACCAGATCCTGACATAACAGACGTGAAAATCAACCGTCTTAACAGATTCCAGTTGATTCAACAAATTCAGCAGCATTTCTGGAATCGGTGGCAAAAGGAATACATCAGCCAGTTCCAGCAGCGCCATAAGTGGAAGGAAAATCAGTCGGACATAAAGGTCAATGACTTAGTATTCATCAAGGAAGACAACTTGCCACCTAAACAGTGGATCCTGGGACGTGTGTGCAAGTTATATCCCGGTAGTGACGGTGTGGCGAGAGTGGCCGATGTTAAGATATCAAGTGGTGTTATTCGTCGTTACAAAGCTATGTGTGTTATCGATGTGTGACGATTAAATTTCGGACGACAATCTTCCAAGGCGGAGGGCATAGACAAAAGGGAACGTGCCCTACTGAGCATGGACAAAAGGGAACGTGCCCTACTGTGCGGTTGGTCGACGGACGCACAGAGGGCGGTACATGTCGAAGAGAAAGAGGACACCTAGTTTAGTTAGTTCACATATTGCAACGCTCGTGTGAGCATGAATGTGTAATATAGTATTCAATCAATAAAATAAATAACAACAATACAGTCTACATCAATATCACTAATCTTATTAATGCCATGCACATATATATCCAATTCCATCGAAAGGACAATATACCTAGCGCCCCCTAGACGTGACCCCAACACTGTTTGCATATTTGTATTTGCCACCTCAACAAACGTTAATCTATACATTTTCAAAACAATCGGTCCATACATACTTAAAATACAGCAAAAAATCGAAAATATGTTTTCAACTTCAACACCCTGTAGAACGAAAAAAAGTAACAATTGAGGCATGTTTGGCTCAATCACTATATTTTGACGTCAACAATCTGCCATTAAGCTGTGTATCATTATTAATGACTCACCCTGTATATTGACTATACATTTTTCATACACGTTCATACCAAACAAAGAACACGTCAGCCATACGTCTTTGCAGCGTCTTTGGGAAACCAGGGGCTTACAATTAGACTTTATGTACTAATGTAATGTAATAATGTACCTACGCAAAATTAGTATTTTACATAGTAGGAAATAATCACTAAGCAGGAGAAAATACAAGTCACTTTTATTACGCACATGGTACTGTCAAATCATGTTGATACAAAAAGTGTTTGTGCAAATCTATNTGACTACGTACCCGACGTGACCGACAAACACAAAAGACCTAGACACCAACTTTTTGACCCTGGGTGACCACCCCAATGACCCCCCCCCTGCCCGCTAACCTTTTCTGTTTCAGAGACAGCCAGAATCAAGAAACGAAGACAACGACACACACACACACACACACACACACATAGAAATATTTATATACACATATTTCCACTACCTATGTAATTTAGCTCTCAGTAAAATAGAAGTCATTTTATTCTGGTCCATTCATCTGTAAACTTGTTTTCCTAGATGATAACACTAAATAATTATTTTATTTTAAAGTTTAAAGATCAAAACAATATATATTAATCTGTTATCAGTAAATAAATAAAGCACCTACAAAAAGAAGTCACCAATTTATATTTTCAGTTAAATTTTATAAGGAATTTTACTTGTTATGCCTTTCACACGTATAAAAAAAATCATGAAAAGTCCAATTAATAAAGTAATATGAGTTTATTTAAGTGATCATATAAGTAGAATTACAAAATAACATGTAGAAAAAAGTAGGTCGAGACTACAATTGCATAATATTTGCCTTTAGGTTGTCAAATATCGGGTCGTTAATATCAGCACCAATAGGAATACGACATAATAATGTTGATAACGTTTTTCTGGATGGAAGATAAAACAATTTTTGCATAGTTTTATATGCTTTGCCACTCTGCTTTTGTAAAACCAATCCCAGAACTTTTTGATTTATAGAATATTTTCACACTGTATAAATGTTGCAACTAAGTTGGGCAATGGAGCAGTTACGTGTTCTAGAAATTCATCCTTTGTAAATTGTTCATATAGCGGTTTCCTAGGATGTTTTTCTCTACGACTTTTTAATGTTCTCATTGTCTTTAACAGGCCTGTGGCCCTTCTGTACAGTTTTTTAGCCTTAGGGGTTAGTTGTACTTCCCTAGATACACCATCAGCCAATAATGAAGTGGAAGTGGAAGGAAGTGAATGTTCTGTAAAAAATGTTATCTAAGTATCAAACCTATTTTATTAAATAGAAAAAAAACGCTGGCAATGGGAACAGTAATTTCACATCACGTTTCAAATAAAATTTGGAAAATAATTCTTATACATATATACTTATTATTGAAATTTGAAAATACATTAAAAAAACATTTTTACTACCCTTTCCCACTTTACATATTCATTCCACTCACTACCTTATTTTTAGGGTGAAAATAATACTAGAATTCGAAGCAGCATATTTTGGAACGCTACAAATTATATATTACAAGGCTATTTCCGAGACAATCGTAATTTATTTTTCATCCTCTTTTCTATTAAACTGATTTTGCTTAAAAACAATCCCAATGGAGTATTTATGGGTCTCCACTTCTGTACCAAATTTCAAGTCGACAGCTTTAGTTCTTTCGAATGTTATCATGGCAGAATTAAATGCCGACAGACAGCCTATTGCTTCGCGATGTTGAATAAATATGTTATAACTACACGAATTGTACAAAAAGGCTAATAAACAACTTTTTCATAATTTTCACACTATATGCGGATATGCAATTATTATATTCAAACAAAAACACTTACTGGGAGAAGTACACGTTAAAAGTTCTGGTCGAGGTTCTGGTGTAGAAAGTTCACGAATATTTTCAGTTCCCAGTACTTCCTCTAAAATATTTATTGTTTTGCACATCTCATGAGCCAAGTTAGATTTGTTAAAGTATACCAATGTATTTACCTGAACGTGCACTTGAGGTAGAAGCAGAGAACGGTAAGAATAGCATGGGATAGAAGCCTTTCTTCAAGTATATATTTGTGGATCCATCTTCAGGTCTAAAGTGGAGATGACACACCCTGCTAGTCCTATATACTTGCTCATGTGTAAGAGAAAATATTTTTTCATTACCACATGCCTCTATCCATTTTTATAAATCCTTATTGTCATTAGGATACGGAATTCGGTGCCTTGTTGACACCATATCTCTGCATCCAGCAACAGCGTGTTAACTTAATTTAACCATAATAAAAACTGAAATAGGAATAAAACTGTACAATTAATATTATTATGTAAGTAGTAGACACAACCAAGTGCATTAGTTACTAAACCTACTTCTTACCTTAATATAAACTGAAAAACACACTAGGTATTACTCGTCCATAAAATCATAATAAAAACTAAACTTAGAAAGCAGGAAAAACTATTTAATTATAAAATATACGCCACGATAACCTTTCCACTACAATCTCACACATTTGAAATTTTGAAAGATAATAGAACTGACAACAGACAGCACGCCGGTAAATTAGGCAGACTCATTTATCTATGCACATAGAGCCCTACAAAATAGTACCTGTGCGCCATCTATTGAAAAGGCCGCCTCGGAATCATGATTATCATACAAGTGCGCATGCCCTAACCTCGCTGGCTGCGGTCTGTGGGACGGCGCCGGCGCCTGCGCCTTGCGTTCACATAGTCGCGGTAATCGCAATCGTACAGAGCCTCTCGTTTTCGTTATACACTCGCGTCGAGCGACGGCGGGTAATATAATATGTACAAATAATTAATTGTGCATAGGCAAAGAGCAGACTTGAGATATCCAGGGCAATTTATGGAAAGAGCACTTGCTCTTGCATATGTATTTATTTTTATATTGTGATCGTTAAAGTATTATATTTGGTAATTGGTGTATAGGTACTATAAATTTTTATTTAGAATAAATAAAAAACATTTAATTGTAAAATATATTTTTATAAAAGAACGAATAACAATTTTTAATAATAAATAATAATATTTCTATCAATAAATAACAAAACCATAAATATATCAAAAAATTAAAAAAACTTGAACATTTATTAACGAAAACATCTCATTTAGGCAAATAAAATGTAACCCAATTAAAGAAAAATTAAAAATTACTTTCTACCTCACAATAAAATAATAATGATAACTAAAAAACAAAGTACATACCTGAGTAATACTGTTTAAAAAAAAAATCACAAATTGGAGTTGGAACTTAAAAATAAAATTTGTTTAACTTTGGCAGCACTAAGTATATTTCTACGTTCTGATAAAAGTTGCCCTGATTTCGAAAAGATTCTTTCACATGGTACACTTGTACCAACCGTAACAAACTTTTCTTTAAATAGTTCACTTAGGTAAGGAAAGTTATAGGAATATTTTTTCCACCAACACAATGGATCTTCCTCCCTTGGTATGGGCGGATCTTCTAAATAGCGTTGCACTTCAATAATTGCTCTTGAATGAGTCGTTCCTCTAGGTTATAAGGAGGCAACTCTTTTTTCGAAGTTTCCCCAAACAGAACACTTGGTTGTGGTTTCCTTTGATTCGCTCTCTGGTTGGTATGTACTGCTACTACTAACAGTATTGGCAGTTGTAGTGCTGGCGCTATTTTTATTTTGAGAACTTATTTTTGTAGACAGCAGGGACAATACGGATTTCTTTGCTTTTTCCGGTATGGATTCGTTGCAAAACCCAACGTTCTTGAATCTCGGATCTAAAAACGTAGTCAAGACAAGTGAATTACTTTGTTCAACATTCCCTAATCTATTAGTGAGTCCGTCTAAAATGATAGATATAATTTTTTTAGAAATGTCTTCAAACTGTAGCTCCTTCATATTCTTATACACTGCTAAAAGACCATCTGTTAAAATTATAGTCATTGAAGCTGTGACATAATTTTCGGCGCTCATTAATTTTGTCACGTTTTCTAGGGGTTCTAAAATGTGTATCAATTCTTTCAAAAAATTCCATTCCTCCAGGGAAATTACTGGAAAATCTTTATTTAACAGCGCCATTGTCGTCCTGATCGGTTCTTCCAACTCCACAAACCTATCCACCATATAATATGTGGAGTTCCATCTCGTTACAACGTCTTGTACGAGTCGTTTAGGATCTCTTCCCTGTTGTTTTTGCTGGTCTATCAACTTTGCCATGCCAGATGTAATTCTTTTGCAAAAAGCCACGATAGATTTAACTTTGTCTAATATTTTTGTAGCATGTTTCAAGGAATCTAATGCAATTAAATTAATGGTATGGGCGTAGCACCCAAAATGTTTTAATTGAAGTTCTTCTTTAATCGCCTTTTTTATATTCGCGGCGTTATCTGATATCACCATTAAAATTTTTCCTTCCAGATTCCATTCCTGAATAATAAGTTTTAGTTGTGAGGCTAAATTAATGCTTGTATGATTCTCCCCGTATGAAACGCAATCCAATAATGCACTGTGAGATTTAAAATTATCGTCAATGAAATGGGCAGTGACCGCCATGAAGTTTTCTTCCTCGTAAGTTGCTGGCAACATTGTGTTTGAAACGGTCTTCCTTGACGGTAGTTCGTAGTTGGGATTTAAAGCGTTTACAAATTTTTTTAAATCCATAATCTTCAATGACAGAAAATGGTTGGAAATCAATCGTGAAAAGTAGCATTAAAGCGTCGTCAATTTTTTTTCGAGATTGTATTCCCATCTTTTTTTTTTAAAACATGTTTACCGAGGGTTGTGCCAATTTGGGAGGGTTTATTGACAATGCAGTACTAGTCGTAGCCAGATCCTTCGTTTCAAGTGAAGTTTCATATACCGATTTTTCATTTAGATTCGAAGGGTTGCTTTGCAGTGGCTGTAGATTTAGAGAGTCAGGGATAATATATTATCCAATTTCACCAAAGGATGCATTTTATCCATGTGCTTCTTCAAATTATTAGACGTAGATTTGTAACTTAACTCATGTTTGCATATATTACAAATCGCTATTTTGTCCGATTTTGTCTTTTCTACAAAAAAATTCCAGATTGAAGAAGATTTCACAGACTTTTTTGGAGGCATGTTTGAACGCTGAGCACTAACAATTATTTAAAACTAATACCACTGTCCACGGCTTTATACAAGATCTGACCTGAAACTACAGTTCAATACTGGACTAACTTCGGCAAAACGCGGAGAAATAATTTGACGTAGCCGCTAGACATGACAATCCCCTCCTCAGGCAAGCCGTTGATTACGTACCCGACGTGACCGACAAACACAAAAGACCTAGACACCAACTTTTTGACCCTGGGTGACCACCCCAATGACACCCCCCCTGCCCGCTAACCTTTTCTGTTTCAGAGACAGCCAGGATCAAGAAACGAAGACAACGACACACACACACACACACACACACACCCCCACACCCTCCTTAACCCTCCCCTCCCGCGCTAGCCTAAGGGCCACCTTAGCAAAGCGCATCCCAGGCTGCATAGCCGCACTACCCTACCCAACCATACCACACATAAACATGACACTACCCCCGGGGTTTACACAGACGAGCCGGCGAAGCAAGAAGAGCGCCAGAAGAAAGGGCCCTAGCCGGCGGGGCCCAGCCAGGACAAAAGGAGGTCCCACAAAGCGCCTACACCGGCCGCATTTGCGGTCGGGGTAGACGACGGATGGGGCCCACCTACGAAGGCTGTCCAGGCCTACACGAGATGAGGCAGGATAAAGAGGGATAATCCCCCTCGATCCCAAATCATTGAGGCCAATTTCTAGCCATAGAATAATGGCGCGGATAGAAACACTTGCTATATTACGTTACAGACAAACAATAGAGAGTGGAGAACGTAACTTCAAAATTCAAAATCGCACCTCACACCTGTTTACACTGCCACCGAGTTTATATGATAGCGTACCTAGCTTATAATCAATGCTGCCATTTCTCAGCAACAACTAAAATAAGTTTATTACGAAAATGAAAATCAATTACTAAAGTTAATTGGTTGTTTCTTGATAAAGTGATTTGCCATTATTGGTGTCAGTTATTTTAAAAGAAAGAATGCGATTATTCTTATTCATCCAAACATAGTTTACTGACATTAAATAAAATTTATGTTTTGAAATAAATTACGAATCAATGTACATATTTTAAATTTTAAATTAAAATAAAAAAGATGTGGTATGTCAATTTAAATAAATTTTTCAAAATGATTTGGTGCTTAAGCCAATATTTTTCATTTACTTGTTACGTAAACTCAAGGAAAGCAAAAAAAAAGCAGCAATAATAAAAAAATTATTGTATTAAAAACAAACAATTTTTGTGTTGCAATTTACAATATTTACAATTTAAACATTTATTTTAATGGATAACTAAAATTTAATACATACGTTACGTATTTGATGATATTTTCGTTTTTTATAAATGTTTTTCAAAAATTTTTGAAGGTACCTAAAATTTATGTAGGGGGGTAATTTAGGGCACAAATTAATAAATCATTCTCCTCGACAGCTCGTGCCCTGAATCTCGTAATCGCTAGTGACGGAACACGGTAATGAGTGGACGATTGCGGGTCGGGTAGACAAACTAAAACTTTCGCTATTTGACACCTGCCTGCTGCCTGTCGAGTCGGTTGATCTCCGCTCTATGATAGCGGCGTTCCTAAGTCGCGTTATTTTGGAGCGGTATTTTACAGGAGCGATCGCCGAAGTAACGCGATTCGCCGATAACCGTTATTCCCATCTCTACATCTTCGTCGGCCTAGTCGCTGGCCTGGCTGTCATCTCTGCTCCGTTGTGGCTTCACCCCCTGTGGAACATTTCGCCTACCGCCACATGCGCCTACCGCTCCACGGCCACAATCCTGGTACCTCCTTCCTTGCGCAGGACCTCGCCGATGGGAAACTCGATATACGGCATCCGTTTCTCTCTTGATCCCTCCGACCAAGCTGTTCGCCGTTGGAATGTTACCTTGGAAGTTTTTCTGCTCTGCTTCTTTTTTGCAAGCAATTGACACCGCTTTTTCGAATGTCAAGGTTTCATCTTCTTCGTGAAGTCTATCACGAACTGCACCTTTTGGAACGCCTATTATAAATCTGTCCCTCAAAAACTCGTCCAGCACATCTGCTTTGAATTTGCAGGATGCTGCTAGGTTTCGCACTCTGGCTGCCCACTCACTTGCCGATTCATAAGAGTTTTTATACGCACTGTAGAACTTTTCGCGAACACCAAAGAATGTTTCTATGACTTTGAAATGTTCGTCTAGCTTGGAAGCGATATCGTCGTAAAGCACGTTTTCTGGTTTCTTTGGCACACACAAATCAGAGATTAACTGGTAGGACTCCTCATCGCAATTTGCTAACAGGATTCCGCGTCGCACATCGGCCTTTTCAGCGGCAATATTGTTAGCAATGAAGTATTGCTGTAATTGAGACCGGTAAATGTTCCAGTTACACGTTCTATAACTGAATAATCGAACTTGGCCCGTACCAGTTGCCATCTTGTCCACGTGGTCGACCGCACGATCTTTATTCACTAGCTAACTTTTTAATTCTCCGACACGAATTTTTATCCACCACTTTTACCTCGTCGCCAGTTTGTTCTGTCTTGAATAAAACACTATTCCACTGACTAATTAATATTCTTTATTAATTCTGCAATACTCTTGGTAATGTCAATACATGTTATATACAAAGCTCATACGATCTCACTCTCTAGAGTGATCATGTCACACAACCCTATATATATACATGGACCTGCGCACATGCCTAACAGTACATGTAACTAAAAGTAACTAACTAAAATACCTAACACATATGATGCACGTTCTAGTTAACCGCACTTGTTCTAGAGGTAGCCGACATGAGGAACAGTCAAACGAGCAATCTTCATATCCCGTTGTTGTGTGAGAATCATAATGCCGATGTTCATATTCCTCCACACCCGAAAGACGTACTAATACCATATAGCACATATGGCAGAGTTGATGTTGCTTGACCGGGCCTGTACATACGAGCACCATGTATAGCAATATTGCTGATCCCTCAACACAACCTCACCGTTGGAAACCTCGTGGGACCTCATTATAGTGGTGTTTATCACGTCTAAGTGATCTTCGACGACACCTTCGTCCACATAGTCGGCTACCTATATAAAAAAGACAACAAAAAGTTAATACGATTTTCATTTTTTTTTTGCATTATTACCACTACTTCACCATCTGTACCTCCATCAATCGCTGGAGAGTTGTCATCGTCTGCATCCTCCTGACCTTTGCTGTCATCATCCATATCACCAGCTTCAATGTCGTTACCTTCCTGGTCCAGTTTGTTCATCTGGGCTTCCTCCTCTAGTTCACCCGTTTCATTATCAGAAGCATCCGCTACACCTTCGTTTTCTGAAACCTCATCGATCTCGTCGTGAAGTGGGATACCACAGGCTTCCTATATCTTAAAATTTCACAAGAGGGATTTATAAAAACTATAGTTTTTTGTTTAATATTTACCTCCTGTTCCATAGCAGCTGCTTCCTCAAAAAAATAAAGTTAACAAGTCCGATAGAAGCATCCATTATTATATTTTCATAGAGTTTAACAATCACACAAGTGTCACCAAAAAGTTGTAAACTATAACTGATGCAAAATAAACCTCCTCCCAAAGTATATAACATTTGTCATGTGACGTCACATGTATAAGAAAGGCCGTAAGCAATGGCTCTCCTGAAAGTGAGTTGATCCATCTTTCCGCCCTGAAGCATGTGAATTTGCCAGNTACTCTGCTTTTGTTTTATATAATTAAACCATACATCCCCTTTACAAAGTTAGTAGATACAAGGATATTTTTTGTTTAAATTTAATCTAATTTTAGTAAAAAAATAATAATAAAAAATTAAATTAAATAAAAATTAATCCTTTAAATGGAAAAGAGAGGAAAGGAAAATTAGTATTATTATTTTTTGTTCTTTTTTAATGATGGGGAACTTGGCAATTTTTTCGTTCAACTTGTGTGATGTGCTGGCTATTTCTTTTAACGGCGTCGCATTGGGCAGTTTTTGCAGCGCCTCATCTTCCTCTGCTTGACCTAGCTTTAAAGCCGAGTATTTTCGCCTGATTGATTTTGTGAACTCGTAGATTTTTTTCTTTCGCGCCGTCTTAGCGATAACGTCTTCAGCCGTTGGATTCATTGCGATTAATGATAGAGTCCGATAGTTACATCCTTATATATTTATCGAATCCTTTACGATATCGCCCGTCTTGTAGGTTGAAATCCTTTACAATGACCATAGTACCATATTTATCGACCCAACATTCTGAGCAGCAGTTCTTAACCGGTTGTTAGCCGTTGTTAGCCGGTTGTTAGCCGATTGTTAGCCGGTTGTTAGCCGGTTGGTAGCTGGTTGTTAGCCGGTTGTTAGCCGTTGGTAGCCGGTTGTTAGCCGTTGGTATCCGGTTGTTAGCCGGTTGTTAGCCGTTGTTAGCCGGTTGTTAGCCGGTTGTTAGTCGTTGGTAGCCGGTTGTTAGCCGGTTGTTAGCCGTTGTTAAAGACTTTACAAATCATTATGTACCTCATTCGTTTATAGGTAGTGGTCTGTTGCTTAACAACGATGGCCGATTTACGTTCCAATTTCATAATTTT